AAAAGGTGGGCCGAAGACAAGTGAAAAGTTCGAGCCGCAGAAGGAGGATATCCGTGTTCTGATGGAAAATGTGGCGTGGCCCCCAGGGATGGAGGAGAAAAGTGGTTTCATTCAGAAAAATGCAAGGAGATTTTTGAGAAAGTAATAAGCAATCGCAAACTAATCGAAGAGGCCTACACTTTTTTAACCGGCAATGCGGGTAAGGGTAATCAAAATCCAGGGGGCGGTGGAGGTCAAACTCCAGATCAGTCAGAATTAGAAGTTTGCGACCGTTGTGGAAAAAAATACGATTTCAGCCAGAAATTTCCTAAATTTAAAAAAAAGGAAGAAGAAAATGAAAATTATTGGTTTTGTTCGAAAAAATGTTATGACTGTTTTAATGTTTGTGATAATTGTGGCAAGCTAGAAAGGCTGAAAGAAAATGAACTTCGTCAAGGAATTTGAAAGGAAAAAGGTTGAGGAATTACTAAGGGAAAAGTTTTTTGTTCTTCTAATTGCCGGCAAAAACTAGAAAAAAATCCGGGCAAGTTTGACCCCGATAGTTTACCAAATTGCGACCAGTGCGGAGAAAAATTTCGCCTTGATGAGAAAGGCTTCTATACCATTTACTCTTTTACCGGTAAGGAGGAAAAATTTTGCTCACCAAAATGTCGCACTGAGTGAGGCAATGAAAACCCAGAAAAGCCAGAGAATAATAGCGAAACCCAACAGACTAATCGTCCAACAAGCGAGAATGGGGAAGAGGAGGGGAACGATAGTGACTTGGACAACCACTCGGAGTCTAATTCCGACAATAGTTCCGACAGCAACCCCGACCAAGATGGGAAAAAATCCGATAATAACCTGCCTAAAAACATTCAGGAAATTGCTAATCTTCCCCTTTTGCAAGCCCAAGCCCGTGCCCGACAGGAAATTGAAAAATTGCTAAAAGACAATGATATTTCCGACCACGAATTAAATCAAGAAGACTGACTTGGGAAAAGCGATTGAAAAGCTTATTTAAGAAATTTAGATACTTCGCAAAAGGTGGCTGAACTTGCCAATAAAGTGCAACAAACAATTTTGCAAAAGATACTGGCTAAAAAAACTACAACTTCAAATCAGAACAAGCCCGAAAGCAACTGAGTATTATCAACAATTATATTAGGTATTTCTCTACTGTCGTTAACCACTTTACTAATAATTGTTCGCCGGCGAAGACAAAGACGTTAACGAGCGAACCAAGTAATTTTTGAAATTGCAATTTACTTTTTCTTATACTACAAACCACCAAGAAAAGATTTTTAAAGATATTTTTCGAATAAACTTTTAACTGTATCCGTAGGTTGGGCCCCTTGTGATAACCATTTTTTAATGTTATCTTTGTCTAATTTTATTTCTTTACTACGAGGGTCATAACAACCTAAATACTCTAAATAATTACCACTATCACGAGGTTCTTTTTCGTCAATAGCAATTATTCAAAACGAGCGTTGACCTTTACGACCTTTGAGGCTTAAACGAATTTTAACCATTTTTATTATATTATAATTTTAGTATTGGTCACAAAGTTGAGTCTAACAATCCTTTTAGACCAAAATAAGAAAAAAAGCTGACAGTCTGCTAAATAAAAAAATAAAAAAGACTAATCCTCAACTCATATTTCTCCTTGTCTCTTCATTCTCTATTTCTAACTTCTTTTTGACAAAAAAATAATGTTCGGCCAAAAAAACTATAATGCTTATCCCTATAAACTCGCCAATCGCATAAAAAGGAGTGATAAACAGCAGAATTCCAATTTCACAAGTCATAAAATAAAATTTGTAGATTACTGGAATTAGGAAAAGCAAAAATAGTAGTAAGGAATAGAAAAATATTCTGATTGCTAACTTCTTTTGACAGATAAATGTTTGTTTATTTCGCATTTGTCTTTACGTTTTGGCTGCTTTAACAATTCTTCGTCATCTCTTTTCATCAATTCTAATCATTAAACTCCTAATAAAACAAATGATAATCACCACTAAAAGAACAATGCTTCCTCAAATGGTAAAATGCTTAACGGGTCCTCAACCTACCACTATCGTTTCTCCATCAATATTGAGCGTCTTGTTTCATTTTCCTGCTTTGTAATCTTTAACAGTGATTTCAGCATTTTTGTTGTCTGGTTCATCTAACGGTCTAATTTTTTCTGGCCCTTTCTCATTTAAATAAAGGAAATTAAAAAAGTATTTTTTTGCCTTGTATTTGAATTCAATCCCAGGTGGACGTTTATGCATATTCGTTATATATTTATGAAATCCGGCATCAATCTTTTGGATAAAATAACATATTTATAATTTTAATTTTTTGGCTACCTGTTTCAATTCATATTTCAACTCGGGTTTGGCAGTTCAAATAAAACCTTTATTTTTTTCATACTTAGGGA